ACGGTATGTGTTTGTGTATATCTGGTTTCTGGTTATTGGAATTATAGAAGGGTATATAGAATTAATATAATGTTTACAATATCTTGTGATATCTTCGATATCCATCTATATCTAGCCCTCCCTGAGTTTGTTTTGTATTACAGATGGACTATGTACTCTCCAAGATCTACAACAACTCCGATCCGGTAGAAAACTACAAGGAGGATTATGCGGATTTCGTCAAGGAACACCAAGAGCTTGTCATCGACGACGAGAGCGTATGGAAAGGATTAGATCAACAACTTTTCTCCAAGAGTACCCATTCTTAGACCTGGTATGTATTTTCTGTATTAGTTCATTTATTTGAGTGTTTTACCCTTGTTAATTTGTCTCTCTACTCTACGGTGCAGGTGGAGTTACATACTTTTGATACAGATTTACAAATTTGTAGATAGTTTGTCTTTGCTTCACTGGAAAAGTCTGTCCGTGATGTAGTTTAGTTTTTTGGATATATTGTAAAAGTCCCTGTCCGTTTGTCAGTGTGATGTACTGCTTCATTTGAAGTTAACAGTTGAACCAAGTGATTGTCATCCTTAAGACTTTGTATGAAGAATATTGATTTCGCTTATGGTTCCACAGCATTTTGTTTTTATTATACTCTCCAGTATATGCTTAAGTAAAGGTCGACAGTAGAAACGGTCATTTTACAGTCGATTTGCAGATCTTTATAATCAAAACGGTCTGTTCATAGTAAACTGGCAGTAACTAGTGCTGGATTTATATCTAAGTCGATCAAGGTTGGGAATACTGAGGCCAAATTGGCTGGATGGAGCAAAGTATTTGGGTCAACAACATTTGATGGGTTTCTCTGCAGTGTATGGGAGAAGGTTGACTACATATGGTACTATGAGTAAGTTGTCACCAAGAGACCCGTTCAATGGGTCTTCTATACAGGGGAATTGATGGATCATATATATATATTATTAATACTATTGACGTGTGAGTCATCTTTGTTTGTAGAGAAATAATACACCCGCCCTCTGCCTGGTAAAGTTGGCCAGAGGACTAAGGTTTGCGTTTCTTGGGGCAGGGTCAGTTTGAAATTTTTTTCGTTTCCTTCACGTTTTTGAAGCATCATGTCTTTTTGTTGATGGTCAGCTTCTTATTCGTTCCAGACTGATAGTATACTCCAGTGGAGTAGGGGAGAACAGTTAGCTGCTTTAACACCCAGATGTAATCAGCACTAGTACAGATGATGTGTCTTCCAGTTTGAATTTTTTTCATTTCATCATGCGTCATCTTAGCACAGAAGATCTGGCAAGTGCAGAAACTTCCCAAGAGGACGAAGAAATTGGTTGAGATGCTTCCTTACCGGGAGGTATTAAATATTGCTCTAGTTCTTTGTCAAAGTCCCAAGCAAATTGTATGGAATGTACGAGGAAAAATGTTCCCTTCAGGTAAGATTTTATGTTGTATTTTGATAGAGATCTTAATGAAAGGAATGATGTATTATGCAATTACCAATATGGCTTTTTATGCAATTCAACTCGTTGAACAAACACAATGTACTTGGTTTTCAGGTTCTACAAGAACGGAGTGAGAGTACATCTAGACATGGACGGGCTAGATTTTCCGTTTGCTTTTTTAGGTCGGTTCAGAACAGAGTTCATTCTGCACTTGTATAAATACAACTCTGCTAGGAATTTCTTATCATTTTTGTTATTTTTTCTTCACAGGATATAGTTTACTGTTTCTTATCCCATTATTTCACCTAATTCATCGAAAGGAGGGGTAAGCTCATCTCTAGGGTTCCTTCGTTTTCCTGAGTACGGTTTCCCCTTAAGAAGAAATTATGTGGTTTCTGTTGCTAGTAGTGCTGGTAAATTCTAGTATGCTAGATATATTTCTATATAGTTAAGGATGTTCCTTTTCCTCTCTTCATTTTGATCTGTATGTATGTGGAAGACTAAGTGCCACAATCTGTAAATTGAACAGTTGCACAAAATCCTATCCCAAACATTTTTTTGAATCATGTGATTGTGAGCTCTTGCAGGCTCACACTACTGGAGACAGGCCGCTTGCTAAGGTAAGGCTAAACCAGTGTGACGATCCACGCCAAATCCTCTTGCTGGTTTAGCCAAATGTCACAGAACCGAACCATGCTATGTACTACAGTCTACAGATC